GTAGCGCACAGGGTGACCGAGATACTAGATGTGACCCAGCCACCCAATTGGAGATGGATACCTACTGGCGAAAACGTTGCCGACGAGGGGACTCGCTTAAGCGTAACGTGCGACTTCAGCCCTTCTTCCCGATGGTACGCAGGTCCGAAATTTCTTACTCAGGAGGAACACATGTGGCCGAGAAATCCTGTCGTTGACACGTGCGAGGATGAGGAAGAGCTTCGCTCCCGACTGGTATTGGTTACCAATAAGCCGAATCTGATGGACTTCTCCAGATTCTCCTCATTTACCAAGCTGAAGAGAGTCGTTGCCTGGGTGATGCGATTCGTGAGCCGGTGCAGGGAAGGGCCAGGGAATACAACGCTTTCAGCGGAATATGGTCTTTCAGTGGACGAGCTGAACGCAGCTGAACACTTTGTGTGCCGACAAGCTCAACAGAGCCAATTCGCCAATGAACTCCAAATCCTTCATAAAGGGGCTTCGCTTCCAAGAAACAGCGAGTTGTATTCACTCTCTGCTTATGTCGACGAAAATGGTATACTTCGCGTCCGTGGACGACTAGACTCCGGAAGCTGGATACCCTACGAGATGAAACGTCCAATAATACTTCCAAGTAGCCACGCGTGTACTAAGCTTATGGTCGCCGATGTCCACGACAAGATGATGCACCAAAATAGCGAGGCAACGATTTGTCAGATACGGCAGAAGTTCTGGATTCCTCGTCTGCGAAGACTTCTCCGAAGCGTAATTTCGAGGTGCAACGTGTGCAAAATTAAGAACGCTAAGCCTGTGCAGCCAATGATGGGACCGCTGCCGAAGGACCGCCTCACGCCATATAATAGACCATTTACCTTTACAGGAATGGATTACTTTGGACCAGTAAGCGTGACTATTGGGCGCCGAGTAGAAAAGCGATGGGTAGCACTCTTTACATGCCTTACGGTACGTGCTATCCATTTGGAGGTTGCATACGACTTGTCCACGGACGCCTGTATTTTGGCGATGCGCAATTTCATGAACCGTAGAGGAGTCCCACGGAGAATACGATCGGACAACGGCAAGAACTTTATTGGAGTGGATAACGATATGAGGCGCTTCTCAGACGTTTTTGATTGTCAGGTGGTTCACACAGAGTTGACATCAAAGGGCGTGGAGTGGCTATTCAACTGTCCAGCTAATCCATCTGAGGGAGGCGTCTGGGAGCGAATGGTCCAGTGCGTTAAGCGCGTGCTGAGACACACCATGAAGGAAGTCGCTCCGAGAGAATTTACGTTGCAAAGTCTTATGATAGAAGCGGAGAACATAGTTAACTCCCGCCCCCTGACACACCTGCCAATATCGCCGGATCAAGAGGAGCCATTGACTCCGAATCATTTCCTGCTTGGGAGCGCCAACACTGCCCAGACCGGTCACATCGATGAACAGCCTGTTAACCTGTGTGCTATACGGAAACAGTGGCGCATCGCCAGAGAGCTTCGGAAGAGATTCTGGAAAAGATGGGTGGCCGAGTATCTTCCAACGCTAACCCGCCGAGTTAAGTGGTGTCATCCTATGAGAAGTCTGAAAGAGGGAGACTTGGTGTTTATTTGTGACCCAACCGTATCCAGGAAAGATTGGCGCCGAGGTTTGGTAGAGAAGGTGTTCACCGGTTCAGATGGCGAGGTGAGACGTGCGAATGTGCGTACGGCCACCGGGCTAACACAAAGGCCTACATCCAGGCTAGCCATTCTTGATGTCTCCAGTGGTGAATCGTGACGGATTCACGGGGGTGGGAATGTTGTGAAACAGGGCCCTTTCATTATTCGTGCAACTTTGTTTGCAATATAGCATATGGCAACTCCGTAGTTTCTTCTTGGCTTGGGTTGACGGTTGACAGCACTGATTTCAAACTAAAAAGATATTCAACCCGAGCAGAAGTGGAAACTGCGGTAAGTTTTTTCCTTTTTATAAATTGCTTTATTAATGCATTGTTTTATTCATATCTTTAGAAATAAACAAGATACAACATTGTACGTTCTATTTCATTCATTTCTGCGAGGGCCAGCAACAGTTGGTGATAAACGAGGACAAGGCGAAGTATCTCATGTCATCAAAAGAACAGTCGGTGCATTCGCGCCTTGGCACCCGCGTTGTTGTTGTAGCGGCCATTCACCGTTGCCAGTTATAATTTGGAGAAAGAGAATTTCATTTACTTGGGAACCATCAATAACTACGGTAATAATGTCGGCATGGGAAGCCAACGCCGAATCACTCTTCTCAACAAGTGCTACATTAGAATGAGTAGGCAATTCAGAAGTAAAGTCCTCGCTCGGCGCGCGAAAATCACACTCGCATAAGTCAGCTCTGAAAGTATTCAACTCGGAACACGCTGGTGGCAGTAGAGGAAGGTGGAGGCCCTTACTGCGTTGGAAAGACCAAGTGGAGAAGGACTTGCCTTCACTTGGCATCTCCAATTGGCATCAGTTGGCACAGAAGAGAAACGACTAGCGCGCTTTTCTGAACTCTGCCAAAATAGCTTAGGCGGTTACAGCGCACTACACTCGCACAACTTCGCTCCGGCTACTGCAGCAGGTTAAANACGTGTGTCAAGTTAGCACTACACTTTTCGAAATTGGAAAAGTTAACTACGGCATTAATTGTAGTGTTTTTGTTGTAATTTTGTTGTGGAGAGAAAAAATTTGTAGCTTTCGTTTTTCTGGAAAAAATTGAGTTGACCCTTTTTCGAACAAAATTTAGTATGTAGTGCTAACTTGACACCATACACCTAGTCGATAGAATTGAGATATTCAATATGTTATAACGGCATTAATTGTAGCTTTTAGCTTTAAAATTTGTTGTGGAAAGAAAAAATTTGTAGCTTTCGTTTTTCTGGAAAAAATTGAGTTGACCCTTTTTCGAACAAAATTTAGTATGTAGTGCTAACTTGACACCATGCACCATTGACGACAGAATTGAGATATTGAAAATGTTACAACGGATTAATTGTAGCTATTTTTGTTGTAAATTTGTTGTGGAAAGAAAAAATTTGTAGCTTTCGTTTTTTAAGAAAAAATGGTATGTAGTGCTAACTTGACACCATACACCTAGTCGATAGAATTGAGATATTGAAAATGTTATAACGGCATTAATTGTAGCTTTTAGCTTTAAAATTTGTTGTGGAAAGAAAAAATTTGTAGCTCTCGTTTTTTAAGAAAAAATGGTATGTAGTGCTAACTTGACACCATACACCTAGTCGATAGAATTGAGTTATTGAAAATGTTATAACGGCATTAATTGCAGTGTACGAAAATAACCTATATTGTACGTTACTATTTCGTTTCATTTATTACTTCAACAGTTCGGTACAATACGAATACAAAACGGCTGAGTTCACTTTGCGATAGTACACTATAGTAGTTTAGTAGTTACAGACGAAACAACAAACG